AAAAAAAAAAAAAAAAAAAAAAAAAAAAAAAAAAAACGGAACAATTAACTTTCATTCGATCAACATGTTATTATATTTATTAAAGAGACTTGATCAGAATTTAAATAATCGACAGTAGCTGATATTTTTAAAGTTTTTTACTCGAAATCAATTGATACCGTAACACAGTTCTTCTTTGTAATCTTGATACTGTATCATATAAACTAGCGTTAAATAATAATATTAATGATGATAATTATAATTATAACTTTATTTCTATTTTAAATGTATGAAAGTTTAATAATAAAATAAAATTAATATCCTAACTCATTTTTTTTAGAGTTCTTTTTTTTTTCTAATTCATTTTATCAATATTTTTATTTTTTATTACATCACAAGTGACACTTCACCTTTTTTAAAACGCAAACATTCATGTTTACTCAATGTTTTAATTCAATTAATTTTTAATTATCGTTAATTTAATATTTTAATTTATTTTTATCAAGTTTTTTTTTTTATTTTAATTTAATAAAAAAATAAAAAAAAAATTTGCAAGTAAAAATTCTAAAAAATAATTTTTTTTTTTTTTTAAATTTAAATAAAATTTCAAGTGTCAGCAGATTAAATAATTTTTAAAAGATTAAAATCATAAAATAGAATCACATTTTATGTTAGCAGTCACTTTACAATTTTTTAATTTTATTTAACAAGTAAATTTATTCTAAAAAATTATTTCCAATTTTTTATAATTTTTTAATTTTATTTAAAAAAAAAGTTACTTTTAAAAAATTGTATTTTTAATTTTTTAGAATTTTTACAAGTCAATTTTTTTTTAATATTTTTTTTGCACTGATTTATTTCTTAAAAAAATTCTAAAAATTATTACATATCTGCTACTTTAATTTTCAATTATGTTAAAGTTAGCAGTCACACCATTTAAAAAAAATTTATTCCAAAAAGTGATTATTAAAAAATTGCATTTCTAATTTTTTAAAATTTCTACATGTCAATTTTTTTTTCTCATATTTTTTTCCAAAATTTATTCCAAACAAAAATTTTTAAAATTATCAAATATCTGCTAAATTAATTTTCATTAATTTTCAATAATAATAAAGTTAGCCGACATCTTGATTTTTTTATTTTAATTTATTAAATTACAACTAAAAAAATATTTTTAAAAAATTGCACTTATAGTTTTTGAAGTTTTTAACAAGTGAAATTTTTTTTTTTACTTTTTTGTAATAATTTTTTTAATAAAAAAAAATTCTAAAAATTATTTATTAAATATCTGCAAAAATAATTTTCATCAAAATAAAACATCCGCCATTTTTACCTTCCTCCAAATAAAATAAAATCAATAATTACTCCACTAAAAATAAAATCAATTTTGCTCATAATTTATTCCATTAATTTTTCCAACGCTCATTCCTCATTAGTAATAATTATTCCTATCGGACATCTTGATTTATCTTCAAACCTGTCGCCATCTTAGAATGACACAAGCCCGCCATCTATCAGCGCCAACCTGTCAAAACTATCATTTCTTCTCCTAATAAAATAATAATAATTTCATAAGCTTCATACTTTATGGAAAAAGAAACTGACGTGCGTCGTAGGTCGTGTTAATAAATCTTCCATCGAGAAATTTCTAGCAACTGGATTGTGAAAACGTGATCAATAGATCACCTCAGATTTTTTGTCATTGTCACGAAAGCCATAATTAAATTTACGGTAACTTGAGCCTGGTGGAATTCACTAGCAACAATTATTATTATTATTATTGTTAATAATAATTAAATAAAAATAATTTAATTGATAAAGAAGATATAAAAAATAAAAATGTCTCTCTTTGGATCGTTGATGGGTGATATTGAAGACGACCCAATTTTCGGGTAAATATTTATAATTACCAACATATATATATATATTTCATTACATAATTCACTCACTAATAAATATTTTCATTAGTTTTATTATTTTATTGTCAATTGTTTCTGTTAATTTTATTTTCAAGATGGAGTCTAATTTTTTTGCATCAAGACTTTGATATTTATATTTATATTTTTTTATTTATTTATCTAGTAATTTTTATTTTATTTTATTGTATTGTATAATTTTAGATGATACTAAAATTAATAGACATGTAACAATTTTTTTATTTTTTTATAACAAATTATGAAGAAAATTCTAGATGTAGAAATTGAAAAAAATAATTTTTTCATAATTAATTTTTGTTACAAAAATTTAAAAAAAATGTCGGCTAATTTTAATAGTATCATAATTGTAGTCGCATTAACCCATTGCTCATTACCATAACAACATTAGGTCACACATGCAATCCATGCAATCGATGAATAGCATGATGAACATCTTCAGCAATCCTTTTGGGATGATGGCACCAGCACTGATGATGGGTCAAGGTCAAAGTATGATGGGCCAACATCAAGGAGGTCCAGTTAACAATATGCATCAGATGATGTCTTTTGGATTTCCTATGCCAGCGATGAACATGAATGCTATGTTTTCAAATTTTGTAAGTATTTATTATTTTTATTATAACTAGCAACCTTGCAGTCACTATGTGACAGCCGAGGTTTGTGAACTATAAATAGATAAAATTTTGCGTTATTAAGTAATGACTTTTGTTAAATTGCACTGTACTTTCTTAAATATTGACTTTTTTAAAGATATAAGCTCATTCCGATGTTACACTCATCAAGACCTTTCATTTGAGTACCCACAT